TCGCGCTGTGACTGATGGCTGATGCGCTGCTGCCGCTATGTGCAGCTGCGCGACCACGGCCGGCCCTTGCCGGCCGTCTGGCAACAGTTCTCGACCAAATTGACTCCAATTACTATCCCTTGACATGACTTAAATACAATTACTGAATTCACTTAAAATATCAACTTCTGCACATTCAACCCAATAGGACCGTGGCGAGCGCGTCGTGCACCGCCGACGACAATACGTCGTCTCCCGACCGAAACACCTTCTCCCACGGCAACTCCAGAACAAATAAACATGAACATTATTTTGAGGCAATTTAATACATAAATACACGGAAGAACATGATCATTACTGAAGGCAATAGAACCTGACTCGAAGCTGCCCGTGGCCACGTGCGATAAGCGCTAGCGACGGTTTGAGCCATTTCACCGATAAAACATCATTTTGCCTCGACTAACATGGACTAACTGGCCATGAAATGATCTAAACTGAACAAATAAACGTGAATTGTACGAGAGTTGCCGGGTAAAACAAATAGTTGTTCAATCACGATTTACTTTAAACATATTCGAACTTTAGCACGGCAATTCTAGGAATCCTTGAACATGACTCGAATACTTCAACTTAAGCTGAACTTAATGACATGAAAGGAAGTTGGAGACGAAATTACCTCTCCAAACGGTCAGCTGAAATCGAAAAGATGGTGTGATTCTCGCCCTTGCGTGCGTGCCGGCGATGTTCTAACTTGCCGTGCGTTGGTTTGCTAATTACCGTGCGATGAGGAGTGCGTAAAGCTTAAGATGATAAGCTGAGTTACTTGCTAATATTATGAGGGTAATATTCTGAGTATGACTTATAGGGAAAATGGGGAAAAATTCATCCCAACTCATGCTTTATATACTTAGGGCCGTGGGGTGGTGATGACGTAGAGAAGATGTGGCCATATCTATGCTTGACACTTGCTAGCTATTGGCATAATTAGTGATGACTAATCCTCCCCCTTAAGATGACACGCGTGATAGATATATTTATGGAAGGAAGACATTTCCTTAAGACTTAAGAAATTGAATACAATTTGGAACATATATATATACTTATAGCTCACGACTTTCCTTAAACAATAGCAAGTTTGGACGGCGTAATACTTAACCAATGATTAATTACTACTCAATCCCTTAAATTATGTTTAATCATTTAATTAAACAAATGCTTAATTACCAAAATTATTCCGAACGTAAACGGTACGTCGAAAACAAATTTCGGTAATCTTGACTGAAAATAATTAATTCTGAAAATAATAAACGTTAACATTATTATATCGGAATTAAAACATAATTTATACCGATAAAATATCGGGATATTACAATCCTCCCTCCTTACAAAATTTCCGTCCTCGGAAATTCAAAGCATAACTGATATACATGAACTATGTACATGGTATAAAGAAATATGTACATCAAAACTGAAAATCTGGGAAACGAGCGCGAATATCGGACTCCTCCTCCCAAGTAGCTCCGTGGCGATCCCACTGAATACGCACGAGGGGAATATCTCGCTTCCGGAGCCGACAAACCTGACGGTCTAGTACAGCTACCGGTCGCTCCTCGTACGATAGATCTGGCTGAACCTGAATATTCGTGAGAGGAATAACATGATCGGGGTCGCACACGTACTTACGCAACATAGAGGCGTGGAAAACATTATGAATGCCTGAAAACTCGGGAGGTAAGGCTAATCGATACGCGACCTCGCCTACTCGCTCGAGAACCTCGAACGGACCGATGAATCGAGGGTGCAGCTTCCCTCTCTTTCCGAATCGCACAACCCCACGAATCTGACGAACTCTGAGAAAGGCTGGCTCGCCAACCTCGAACTGAATGTCTCGTCGATGATGATCGGTAGAAGATCTCTGTCGACTCTGAGCTGTCCTGAGTCTCTGCCGGATCAACTCGACCTGCTCCGCTGTCTCCTCGATCATCTTAGGACTGAGTACTCTCCGCTCTCCGACGTCGTCCCAATAGAGAGGGGAACAACACTTGCGACCATAAGGTGCCTCGTAAGGAGCCATCTGAATAGAAGAATGATAGCTGTTGTTATACGCGAACTCGGCGTACGGCAACAACGACTCCCACTTAGCACCCCTGTCAACAACCAAAGCGCGAAGCATATCCTCAAGCGTCTGAATAGTCCTCTCTGACTGACCGTCCGTCTCCGGATGGTAGGCTGAACTGAACTCTAGCTTCGTGCCCATCGCCTCATGTAAACTGTGCCAGAATCGACTGACGAATCTGGGATCTCTGTCTGATACAATCATAACGGGCACTCCGTGGAGTCGGATGATCCCACGGGTATATATCTCAGCCAACTTGTCCAGAGACATCTTCATCGAAATGGGTAAGAAATGCGCAACCTTAGTCAATCTGTCGACCACGACCCAGATAGCGTCGTGATGTTCAGACGACCTCGGCAATCCCGTAACGAAATCCATCGTGACTTCCTCCCACTTCCACCTCGGAATCGGCAGTGGCTGTAGGAGGCCGATCGGACTCTGATGTTCGACCTTGACTTGCTGACAGGTAAGACATCTTCTGACAAACTCAACGACGTCCTTCTTCATGCCGCGCCACCAGAACGACCCTTTCAGATCGTGATACATCTTCGTGCTCCCGGGATGGGCCAGATCTGATAAAATCTCCTTCCGTAACTCCTCGACCTTCGGGACCACGATCCTGCCTCTGAATTCTAAGGCACCATCGGCACCTAGCTGAAAATCCTCGACACCTCCGGCGCGAACCTTGGCCTCCATGACACGAACAAATTCGTCAGAAGCCTGCTCTCGCCGGATTTTCTCTCTCAGCGTCGGCTGAAGCTGCATAGCACTGACACTGGCACTGGTACTCCCCGAAACGGCTATGGGAAGTGCATCAATCGCCTGAAGCTGCATCCGGGCAAACTCCTGAATCAACAGACTCTGCTGAGTAATGACGTACGTCAAGTCACCCTTCACCTTTCGACTAAGGGCATCCGCGACGACGTTCTCCTTTCCCGGATGATACTGAATAGAGCAGTCGTAATCCTTAACAAGTTCGAGCCAACGGCGCTGTCTCATATTAAGTTCCTTCTGAGTAAAGATATACTGTAGGCTCTTATGATCTGTGAAAATCTCGCAACGTCCGCCGTAAAGATAATGTCTCCAGATCTTGAGAGCATGTACGACTGCTGCTAACTCCAAGTCGTGCGTCGGATAGTTCTGCTCATGAGGCTTAAGCTGCCGTGAAGCATACGCGACGACCTGGCCGTCCTGCATAAGGACACATCCCAAGCCCTGTCTCGAAGCATCGCTGAAGATAGTGAAACTCCGAGAAGGATCGGGAATAGTCAACACCGGTGCTGAAGTTAAACTCCTTTTGAGCTCCTGAAAGCTCACCTCACAATGATCAGTCCACTCAAACTTCACAGACTTCCTCGTCAGCTGGGATAGAGGGAGGGCGATCTTGGAAAAGCCCTCGATGAACCTGCGATAGTAACCAGCTAACCCAAGAAAACTGCGAACCTCGGATAGACTCCTCGGTGTCGACCAGTTCTGAACGGCTGAGACCTTAGAAGTATCCACCTCGATACCTGCCTGAGTAATCACATGACCCAGAAAGGATACTCGCTGGAGTCAGAACTCGCATTTGGAGAATTTGGCGTACAACTTTTCTCGTATGAGGGTCTCGAGAACCACCCTTAGATGCTCCTCGTGCTCCTTCTGGCTCTTCGAGTAGATAAGAATATCGTCAATAAAGACAATAACAAACTGATCGAGGTAGGGATGAAAAATACGGTTCATGAGGTCCATGAAAACAGCTGGCGCATTGCTGAGACCGAATGGCATGTCGACAAACTCGTAATGGCCGTAACGAGTCCTGAAAGCGGTCTCTGCGATATCTGACTCCTTAATCTTCAGTTGGTGGTAGCCTGATCGCAAATCAATCTTTGAGAATACACAGGCTCCCCTCAACTGATCAAATAAATCGTCGATCCTGGGAAGCGGATACTTGTTCTTGATCGTCAACCGGTTAAGGTCCCGGTAGTCGATACACATGCGCATGGATCCGTCCTTCTTCTTAACAAAGAGAACGGGTGCTCCCCAAGGTGACACGCTCGGTCGGATGAAACTGAGTGGTAACAGCTCCTGAATCTGGGTCTTAAGCTCCTGTAACTCCTTAGGCGCCATACGATACGGGGCTTTGGACACTGGACCGGCCCCTGGAATGAGATCGATAGTGAACTCCACCTGACGGTTGGGCGGTCCTCCTGGAAGCTCGTCTGGGAACACGTCCACAAACTCGCGAACAATTGGAACATCATGAGGTGTTCGCGCTTTCTGAGAATCGTCGACAAGGCTCACCAGATAACCCTGGCAGTTGCCTCGTCGCAGTAGCTTAGTGGCTTTCGCCATCGAAACAACATGAGGCAGTGAACGATTCTTGGAGCCGAAAAAAGTGATCGATTCGTCTCCCGGAAGATAAAGAGTGATCTCCTGGTCATGACACCTGATGTCTGCATGATAGAAGGATAGCCAATCCATCCCGAGAATAAGGTCGAAGTCCCTCATCTCGAGAACAAACGCATCGACAGTCAATACTCGGCCACCGATGGAAAGGCTAAGATCTGAGGCTTTAGCTGAGGTCACTATCTTTCGTCCTGAGGCTAAACTTACCTCGAGAGGATCGACAGCGGTAACGGCGTGAACTTCGATGGCGTCGAGACATCGTCGTGAAATGAAAGTATGTGTCGCTCCAGTATCGAATAAAGCAAACACAGGAATATCATTGAGAACAACCATCCCTGACATAGTACCTGGCTGCTGTGCTGCCTCTGCCTGATCCATTGCGTAAACCCTGGCCTGCTGCTTGCCGCTCTGCTGCTGCTGCTGCTGAGGCGGCCTCTGTGCCTGCTGACGTGGCTGAGCTGCTGTGGTGGCTGCTGAAGCTGCTGAGGCTGCTGCTGGAGTCTCTTCGGGCAGCGACTCGCAAAATGTCCTGGCTTGTGGCAGTAGTAGCAGATGTCCTGTCCCACGTGGCATTCTCCCCTGTGAAGTCGTCCGCCGGTCGGGCACGGTGGAATCAGCTGTTGTCTCTGTCGGGTCCTCCGGTCAGTCTGTTCACCCTTTCCCTTCCTCTTCTTCTGCTTTGCCGGCTGAGGGGTTGGTAGAGCTGGTGGAGCTGCGAATGGCTGAACTGGGGCGGATGGCTGGGCACGATCACGAACTGCCTCCCTCCTGATACTAGCGTCCACCTCCTGGGCGATAGAAATTGCACAAGCGTAGGTCTGAGTCTCGTGTCCCACGATGTTGTGGCGGACTACTGGGTAAAGCCCATCGATGAACCGCTTTGCTCTCTGAACCTCCATGCGAACCAGATCCAGTACGAAAGCTGCAAGTCTAGTGAACTCTCGCTCGTACTCATCAACCGTACGAGTGCCCTGCTGGAGCGCTAAGAACTGACGCTCCATCTCTGCCCGATAGTAGGAAGGGTAGTACTTTTCACGGACTAAATCCTTGAACATGTCCCATGTACAACCCACCTTTTCACCGGGACGCATGCTCCAGTAGGCGTTCCACCAGAGCCTCGCATCACCAGTGAGCTGAAGCTGAGCGCAAACTACGCGATACCTATCGGGGCATTCCATGACCTCAAAGATAAACTCTAAGCCCTGAATCCATTCATCAACGATGCGGGAATCTCCCTGCCCTGAGAACTTTTCGGCGTGGTAATCGCGGAACTGTGCGACTACAGTAGCCTGAGTAGGAGCCTGATGATCGGGTTCCCTACATGGCGGCATCTGAACATTGAGAAAGTTTAACATTACTGAATACGTGATAACATTCTGACTGATTACTAAGGCACACAAATCTCTTGACGAGTCGCCAAAAAAAATGGCCGATAAATACTGACGTGAAACCTGAAGAACTCTAGAGTCATATAGGAAAATCCTAATGTCTAGAGTCATATCTGAATGCCCTAAATTCTAGAGTCATGTCCGAACTCTAAAGTCTGAACCTGATTCGAGCATCTTAACTAAAGTCCTGATCCTTAATTCTGAGCATAGACAAAGTAATATGTTTATAACTGAAAACATAAATCAACACTTACCTGTTGTCGGCGGGGCGTGAGCATGACGGTTTAGGTTTTTCTGAAAAATTACTGACTGAAAAACTTTTCAGAGACGCAGAAACGTGCTCTAATACCAATTGTAACACCCCTCCTTATCATAAAATCAGAGTGCGAGAATTTCGCAAAGTTATTTAAAAATAAAACCCTTTACTTTGCGAATACTGATTCGGGGTGCTACCTTAAAATCGTGACTTAATTTGAAAAACCATTATTTTAATTTTTAAGAAAATCATCCGGTTACTGAAAGCATAAAGTTTTCCAAAAGTTCGTCAAAATATAAGTACATCAAAAGTCATCAAAAACATCATCAGCGGAAGCGTAAGTCATCATAATAAATATACAGTGAAAAACATAATGTCATGAAGCTTCCGTCAGCTCATGCTCTCGGCCCGATGTCCTGACCTGAAAAAACATGATAAAAGTGGGAAATGAGCACTATGGCACTGTGCTCCGTGGAAACTCATACTAATGTAAACATTGAAAATAATAACAACATCATGATATCAGTATATACATAACCTCAACCTCAAGCCGGTAATAACATGAACATGAATCTGAAATCGTCACGCAAACGTGACCCTGACCGTTACCTCATCTGCCGGCAAAAACTAATGCCGGACACCATGTGCACACTCTAGTGGGCAGACTAGGGCCACTAGAACCCAGAATGGACCGACGACCATTCCGAGCGGATACCTCAACTGAAATACATACCTCAAACATGGTACCGTAATTATAATCAATGTAGTACTTAGTCTGAGTCCCCACCTGAACTGCTAAACTGAACGGTAGTGCTGATGCCTGATCAAACTGAAAAATAATATAAACAATTACTATTGACTATGTCAGACTGTTAACT